TGGGGGTGGGGGTGCAGCTTCCATGCTTAGTGACGTGATGACGGTAAAAATGGGAATAGTGAACACGTGTACAAAGCTTAACTATGTGCTAGGCACTGTTTCAAGCTCCCCGAATTTGTTAACTATTTTGACTCTGACAGTAATCCGAGGAGGCAGATGTATTATTTGCTCTGCTTTACGGATGGGGAAACGGGCCCAGAGAGGTCTTTAGGGCCTGCATCACCCCAGCAGTCAGTGCCAGGAGGATTCAGGAAGAGAGAAGGGCAGGGCTACCGCCTAGGATCAGACAAGGGTCACACTGACCTCATTTGCCTCTTCCAACTCTGCTCCCAGGCCAGGCCTGGGCTTCATGTGCTCAGGAGCCCGTAGGCTCAGAGCTGTAGCACTGCCCCCTGAGCATCTCTCCAGGGGCCCGTGTCTGCTGGCTACTCCCAGCCACAGTCCTGTGGGGTTGCCAGTGCCCCACCTCCCTCCCTCTGTCCACCCCGCCGTAGCTTGCCGTACCTTGAAAATGGGGTGCACAGCGGGCAGCTGGCGGTACATGGCAATGCCAAAAACCTCAGACACCAGATGTGTGCGCAGAAGGTGGGTGATGGTCTGGTGGACGTGGAAGTCACTGGAGCGCACCCAGATTTTGGCCAAAAGCCAGTCATATTTTGCATCCGAAGGCAGAAAAATCGGGTTTTCATCCCCCGGGACTTGGTTGAGCTGATACATTAGAGAAAGAGAATACATGGCAATGTTTTGTTCTGCATAGCTTACAGGAGAGCCTGGCTTCTCAGGAAACCCCAGAAGAATCCAAGTGTCTTACAGCAGTGGTCTCTGAGTCACAAGAGGCTCACAGAGGAGGGCAGAGGGTCCAGGGTTTGCATTTCCCACCCCAGCGGCATCACTAGGATGCTGGACACCTTCCTGAGCCTTTCCAAGCTCTGGTTCCTCCATCTGCAACACTACTTACCTCCCAGAGTTACGGCACGTGAACAACATGGCTAAAAACACCAGCAAGGAGCAGGTTGGTGTTTCTACTCCTGCCTTCATCTCTCTCGCCTCCCTTGCCTGCTTGCTCCCTCCTGGTTTCCGCCCGCTGCTCTGACTGCTGCTTTTCCATGGCCCACACTTTCCTCTTTTCTTCCCTTAAAGGCTGCTGTTCCCCAGGCTCTGGCCGGTGTTCCTGACTTCCCTTCTTGCCCTTGATGAGCGCCTCCAGTTCCCAGGGCTCTCGGGTGCTCAGGATGCAGTGGCCTAGGTCACAGTCTCTTGAGCCCAGACCCGCAGCCAGTTGCCTCCTATAGGAGAGACCAGGCTTGCCTTTCCAGTTTCACCTCCAAGGTGGGGCCAGGGTGCCTTTTTTTTCCTAAAATGCAAATCCTGTTATGTCAATCTCTTTGAAAACACTCAGTCACCTCTTAAAGCCAGAAAAGAAAAACCCCCAAACTCCATGATCTGGCCGCTGACGCCTCTGCTGAAGTCACCCTATGTTCAGCCCTCCCTGCCCACCAATCCTTGGACCCCAGCTTTGCCATGACAGCCACCAGCCTGCACAGCTTCAGGCCTTGACAGTGTGATGTCACGTGAGCTCTGTTATTGCCTCCTCTTTGAGATGAGGCCTAGCCTTCCTGGGATAAGAAGGCATTTTCCGGAGTGGAGGGAGCAGCATTCGGGCTGCTGGAACTGCGGGCCAGGGCTGGGGCTGGGCTGGGCCTTGGGCTCTTCAGAGACGGTGTGGCTACCTCAGACTGACCCAGGAGGACAGCTGCTGAGACCGTGGGGAGGGGCCAAACCTGCTGGACTCCTCAAGGTCACGCTAAGTATTTTGGAAGGTAATTTCCCTGTCTCTCCTTTGAAAATAGTGCTATCTAGTCGAAATACAATGTGAGTCACACGTGGAATTTAAAATTTTCAGGCGGCCACAGTAATAAAAGTAAAAAAAAAAAAAAAAAAAAAAAAAAAAAAAAAAAAAAAAAAAAAAAAAAAAAACTGAGGTGAAGTTTCTTCTAATGATGCAATTTTATTTTACCCAATATGTCTAAAATATCATTTCAACATGAAAATAATACCAACACCCTGCAAGTCAGGTATTCCTTGCCATGTTACATAAGGGGAAACTGAGGCTCAGAATGGTTGTGCCCTTCTTCCAGGTCACACAGTGGATAAAGAGCTGACCTGGGTTGGGACCCGTGCTCTGTTCCTTCTCAGGCACTGCCTTCAGCCTTTCTCTCCGCTGTACTGCCTAATCCAGACTCTCACATGCTTTCCCCTTGAACTCTTACACTGGCCTCAATGGCCGCGCTGATTTGGGCATCCCCCTCCTACCCATTCTTCTATCTTCCCCCCTCCTGCCCAGGCTCAGTGACACTGTGGCCTGAACGTGTCCCGAACACCTTGTTGGTTTTGTTTTTTAAGTTTGTTTTTTGGTTCACAAAGTCGCTTTTTGTTTATGATTAGAAACTTATTGATAAAAAATAATTGCAGTCACTTAGGAACAACATAATAAAAAAATCCCCCCATCATCAAGCTTCTTGGCTTCGGTGCATATTTGTCTGTTCAGCTTTCCGTAAATTGGACACTGTTACAATGAATGTCTTTCTCTTCTTTCTTTTGCTCACTTGTGCCCCAACCAGTCCATCCCAGTGTTCCCTTCTGCACTTTCCCACGTGTCCCCACAGGACACGAGTGCTGGTCCTGTCGTGTGTATGGTACGCCGCGTCCTGCATTCAGGTTCTGTAGATGAGATGATCTCTGCCATGTGTCTTGCTTTTCTGCTTAGTTACTCATTGTGGAAGCCCCTCAGGTCAGCTGCCATACGTCCAACTCCTTCCTTGCAAAGGTGGCATCACATTTTGTCGTCTGGACATACACGATTTCATTCAATCGATCTTCCACTGCCTTCAGATTGTCTTCAAGTTTGATTTCCCTCCAGGAGCAATGCCTTGTGATGCCCTCACATGTGCGTCCTTACCGTGAGTGCCTTCATTTCTACTGACTGGGCCGGGAATGGCTGTGCTAGGGACAGGCAGGCCCTACTGTGGGCTCCTTCAGCTGGGACACACCCGCTCAGTGAACTGCACAGCCCTGAGCCCCTCCTACCCCCCTGGCCATGCCGGCCCCTGCCTCGGACCCTCTGACCACCCATTGCAATCCAGAACCTCAAAGAGGCGCACCCCACAAGTGCTGCAGGACCTGCTCCCGTGAAGGCCCAGGTACTGACTTTGAGCTGCCCAGGCCTGCCTGTGATTAGAGAGTGAACGTGCCCTGGGCTTCAGTGACTCATGGCCAGTGGTGGTGGGGGTGGGGGGTGGGGGCGCTGTCCCTGCTAGAGGTTGGGTGTTATCACTGGTTTTTGGTTCCAACCTAATGAGTCAGAAGTAGTGTCTCATTGTAATTAATTTCCATTTCCTTAACTACTAGTGACATAGGGGGGATTCTTCCATATGCTGATTTTTCCATATGTCGCCTCTTCTTCCAATTGTCTATTCCTTTTCTCTGCCCATTTTTCTATTGGGATATTTGCCTTTTCCTTGTCAATTTGAAGCAACTATGTGTACATTATAGATATTCATATGTCTTTTTTACACAATAAATATGCCTGTCTTTTCCTTTATAACTTCTGGGCTTCCTGTTTCTACTTTAAGGAGTCTCCTTAGCATCCACATTATACATTGTTCTCCTAAATTCGCTTTTATTTTTCCATTTTAATCTTTACTTCATCTGAAATTTATTTCTGTAACTAGTATGACATATGGGTCCAATTTAATCTTTTCCTTATGTGAAGACAGTTGTGATAGTACCACTGAAATTCTATCCCTTTTTACTGAGAAACCACCATTGTCATGCTTTAAATTCTTATGTATTGGCCTTATTTCTGGCCTCTTTATATACCGTTCCCCCCACTCTGTCTGTTATGCATAGCACCTGCCTTGAACAGAGACGTTATGGTATTCCTTAATACCAAGCAAGGAAAGCCCTCCTTGTTTTTTTCTTTTTCAAATAATTGTTGGCTATCCTTGGACACTTCTTTTTCCATATGTATCTTTAATTTCTTCTATTTGGTTTTCACATCTCCCTCTCACCCCCCCCAAAAAAAACAAACAAACAAAGAAAGAAAGAAAGAAAGAAAGAGAAAGAAAGAAAGCCTGATTGAAAATTTAATTGGAAGTGCATTAGATTTATATGATTAAGTTTGGTAGGACTGACATAAACTTCTCTTGTTCAATATGAAAGAAAGCACATGTGAAGATTTCATTTTACAGCCTTTAAAATGATGTTACAGTTTTTCTTTATATGGTATCGTATTGTTAGCAGGCAAAACGCAATTGGTGCTTTTGAGGAGCATATATATCCAGACGCATTGCTAAATCCACGTGTTAATTCTAATAGCTTTTTGACAAATGAGAGTCTTAGGTTTTCCAGGTCCACCATCACATCATTACCAAAAGATAGTTTTCTCTCTCTCTCTCTCTTTTTCTCACATTGATTATTTTCTTCTTTGTTGCAGATTCCAGGACCTCCAGGACCATGTTGAGTGACAGTGGTGACATCAGCATTCTTATTTATGATTTTAACAGAAATGGCTTTAGGCTTACCATTTTTGAATGAGATTTCCTATCTCTATCGCAGGGAAATAGATTGCTTCTGGCACATTTTAATATTTACTAGTTGGGGCTGCTAAATGCTACTAAGTTCCCTGTTGGAGTCACTTGATACAATCAGAAGCCTTATTGTGCTTTCTTGCTATTGAAACATCTAGGAATAAACCTGGCTCGGTTATGACCCATTAGTCATTCATGACACTGCTACATTCGCTTTGCTAATGTCGTATTTGGATTTCCTTTAAAATCTGTCTTTGTAACTTGGATTGGTCTTCTGTTCAGCTTTTTTGGAGCCTGCCTGTTTTGGGTTTCAGCATGAAAGTTATGCCAGCTTCAGAGAATGAATTCAGGAGCTGAAATACTTGAAAGAGTCCTGGAAATGTGTGCTGTTTACAGGCTAGCTGGAGCTCAGCTGCTCACCACATGGGCCTTTCACCAGTCTAGACATTTGGTCAGCTTCCTAACTGCTTACACGGATACTGGCCTGTTTTCTACAGTTTCTTCCAATAATTTATACTTTGCCAGGTTTTTACCCATCCCTTTCAGCTTCTTCAAATTTGTTGCCATGCTATTACTCTTAAAAAAAAAAAAAAAAAA